AAACTTATTAATAGAATCTTTGATTAATTAGGATTTACTTGCAAAAAAATGTACTTCAATTACAACTGAACTAGCTATATGATCCAAAATTTTGAAACAGCATTAAATTTAATGATTTACTTGAATTAGTATCAAACGTTAATCGAGTTGAATTGTTGTCATAAGACGAGTTAGGTTTAGAAGTATCGTTCTAATTTAAAATAGGTATACCCTTATATTGACACTTTCATTTATGATGAAACTTTATTTAATTAGAATCGTTGTTAATATGAGTTACTTGCAAAAATCTGTACTTCAATTCAACTTAACCTAACTATATTGAACCAAAAAATTTAGAACAGCATTAAATTCAATAATTATTAGTTGAATTGTATTCAAAGAAATACCAGTTGAATTTGTCGTCATGAAGGCGAGTTAGCGTTAAAAGTTATCGTTTCTTAATGAAAATAGGCACTATTTTTAAGCGCACTTCATTTATATGAAACTTATTTAATAGAATCGTTATTAATAGATTTACTTGCAAAAATGTACTTCAATTCAACTGAACTAGCTATATTGAAATCCTAAATTGAACAGCATTAACTCAATAATTTATTGAATGTATCAACGTAATCGATTTGAATTGTTCGTCATTGAAGGACGAGTTTAGGTTAGAAGTATCGTTCTTGTAATTGAAATAGGCATTATCTTAGGGACTCCATTTAAAAGAAACTATTTAATAGAATCGATATTAATAGGATTTACTTGCAAAAATGTACTTCAATTCAAACTGCAACGTAACTATATGAATTCATCCAAAAAATTGAACAGCATTAAATTCAATGAATTTACTGAATTGTATCAAACGTAATCGAGTTGAATTGTTGTCATGAAGGACGAGTTAGGTTTTAGAAGTATCGTTTCTTTTAATATAAAAATAGGCATTATTCTTATGTGACACTTCATTTATATGAAACTTATTTAATAGAATCGTTATTAAGGATTTTACTTGCAAAAATCTACTTAATTCAACTGAACTAGCTATATTGAAATCCAAAAAATATTGAACAGCATTAAATTCAATAAATTTAGTTGAATTGTATCAAACGCTAAATTTCGAGTTTGAATTGTCTTCATGAAGGACGAGTTAGGTTTAGAAGTATCGTTTCTTTAATATAAAATAGCATTATCTATGTGACCACTTTCATTTTATATAAACTTATTTAATAGAATCGTTATTAATAGGATTTCTTGCAAAAAAATGTAACTTTCAAGTTCAAACTGAACTAGCTATTATTTGAAGTCCAAAAATTTTGAACAGCCATTAAATTTCAATGAATTTACTTGAATTGTATCAAAACTAATTCGAGTTGGAATTGTTGTCATGAGACGAGTTAGTTTAAGAAAGTATCGTTTCTTTTAATTTTAAAATAGGTATTAACCCTATCCTTCCCTTCTCGAATTGTCGTCGTGAAGAACGAGTTAGGTTTAGAAGTATCGTTTCTTTAATTTAAAATAGGCAAAGTATGGAATTGTTAGTAGAATTATCTTTATTGGTGAAAAAATATGTTCAATTGAACTGAACTAACTATATTTAATCAAAAAATGTGAACTGCGTTAAATTCAATGAATTGAGTTGAGTTGTATTAAATGTAATGTAAACTTGACGAGCTGGGTTTAGAATTATAATTTCTTCAATTAAAAACAAGCAAAACATGGAATTGTCAGTACAATTATTTTTCTAATAATTGGTGCAAATAAAAGTAAATTCGATGGACTTCAGCATACATTTGCAAAATGGCTTATTAGATATGTTCTCTGCACTAGTATTTCTTAATTTGTATATATTCATTGTTAACTAATTACTTAATTAACTTCAAAGTAGTAATTTCATCTTAGAATTTCGGAAGATTTTACAATATTATTTTTATTTTATATTTTAAATGTTCATTTGAATTTTAAATTTGTAATTATCTTCAAGGTTTCGTGTGTTCCAGTACATTAATAATTTTCTTTGATCCATAGGAATATATATCTTCTTCAATACTTCTTATTCAAGACATTGAAAAACATTTTTGCCCGGAATAGGCTAAAAACGATTGACAGACAAATCAATTCGATTCTTATTAAAGTTTTAAAAATTCATTTTCTCGATTTGTGTATGTGTATTATGTGAATCATTTTGAGAGACACTTTTCATGTCTTAAGTAGATTCGGACGTAAAATAATCTCTCTCCTTTGATTAACGTTTCTTCATTGAAGACGCACAGCCTCATCGTGGGGTCACTGTTTATTTCGGCATATCCAATCACATCATAATCCATCGCAAGTTTTACAGGCAGAGAAAAACAGAAAGGAAATAAAGCAAACACAATACAACGGCATGCAGTTGCGATGGAAAAGATGCCTTGAAAAAGCCAGCTATTCTACTAGAATAAATTACATATATTTAGAAGAATTTCATGGCTTTCTTTGATAATTATAAAATATTGGAATAGTTTTGAACGTAAAACACTCTGTAATAAGCAATATATTCCACAATGCTATCAGTGCTAAATAAATTGTATTTCAAACAAAAATAAGTCCCACTTCTGAATAGAAACGCGAACCTACACGACAATAACCATGGGTTTATTGGAAATTTAGCTATTAAAATTAATTTACATTATTAGAACGCGTAACACTTGATTATTTTAAAACGTCGAACAGCGAATATTCAACAAATATTCAGCACACCCTGCAAATTTTGAAACACCCTTCAAATTGCACAAAGAAGAATCTTACTCAAAACTCCAACTTGATATTGCATACGCGTGTCCCTTCGAGCAAATTTATTTTACCCCTTCCAGATCGTTTCTTCGGTATTTAATCTTGTTCACTGCATTTCATAATCTGATGTCTAGTATTAGTATTGAAATATTGCAAAAAGCTGATTAAGAAATCATTTTTAATTATCATAGACCAACTATCAGACAATATTTCCCCCAATTATATCTTACCAAGCACAAATTATTCCTAGAAAGCTATGCAGGGTTGAATATGACTCCAAGATGATTGTATTTTGTACAGCAACGTACAAGCTATGAAATATAATCTGGATTTGTAAAGAAATACCAGTATAATATTTGCATTTATCGTAATTGCAAACCGTTCACCATGTATAGTCAGTTAAAATATTGTTCCCATTACAGTATATCACCGTACTAAGATTTTCTTTTTTACTCTGTTCATATTATGATAAATTTTCGGTTAGTAATTTTGTTTTTAACTCCGATTTATTTAAGCATATTCTTTGGCTTTGGAATTTCCGTCGAAAATAATTATAGCATGAACCGCAAAATTTTGCATTTCCAACTTATTCTATTTCCTCGGTCACTCTTCGTACTGTCATTTTATATGCGAAATTAGTTCTTTAAACCACTTTCCTTCAAGAATGGCGTGAAGGAAATAAGCACGCTAGTCAAATTGCAGAGTTCCTGTTTCAAAACAGGAAGGATAAATATTCATTAGAGCGCGAACACCCACTCTCATACACACACACACACACACACATGCTTGCAGGCACTCACACGTGTTCTCATTCACTGTCGCTCCTCATTTCTCTCTTTCTCTGTCTTTCTCTGAAACACACACACACACACACTCGCACATTACGCAATACAGAAGGTGCTGCGTCGATCTAAACCAAATGTCCACGATATTGTGTTTGAATATCACGAGGCTGATGACAACGAGTACAAAAGGAAATAGCTTACATTCGTCTTTTAGATCAAGAATGCGAACAAATACTAGATTTTAAATATCATTAGTGCCTAGTGCATAAAATACGGTTTGAAATCAACATAATTTGCTGTTTCAAACTTATCTGCCTTTTTACAAAATTCTATAGTTGTAATGACATAAACATTTAATCTTTGGCCTGAAGTAACACTAATTAAAGAGTGTTAAATACATACTGATTATGAAGAAGTTACTTCAATTATTTGATTTTAGAACATTTTCTTTAAATAATCGCTACGTACAGTGATGAAGAATGCTTGCAATATTTAGCAGATTTAGAAATATCTGCACTTCAAGAACCGTGAGGCACGAGAAACAATTCTAAAGCATTACAAATCGCCGCGGTATCGACAACCTGTGCTGTTTTCCTGTAACAGCTCGATTTCACGAACAAAAGATACATACGTGCGGCGTATTAACGAGCATAGCGTTCCACTACGCTTTCGTAACCTTTATCACACGAATGACACAAACTCTTTTATACATATATTTGATTTTCATCTTCAATGATTTGCAATTAGTGCCTGATGAAACTTCAATTTTAATTTAAAGATTAATTTTGTGAGTATTTTTATAACATATACATTAGTTCATACACATTGCGTCAAGTGTCTGAAAATGCTGAAATTTTTGTAGAAAGATTTTAAAATAAATGGTATACAAAAAGGTCATCTTTACTCTCAAATATTTTCCGAGACCAGAAGCAGCATCAGCTATGTTTTGGAAAGTGCAGAGGCCACCTGAGATACCGTCTCTTCGCTACTGTGGCTATGTTTTCGAGACTACAAACACCTCCACTCCTCTAATCCCCCGACCACTTCCTTTTCTCTCGCTACCCCGTCAGCCACCCTCATCCCTTCACCCATAACGCCTCCGCCGTCCCTGTCGACTATTGCCGACTCCCCTTCCTCCATCCCCCAAAACCACACGTTACCTAGCGCCTTTGCCATCCTCCTCTACCGTCAGCGACTATCCCGCCATCCCGTCAACTGCTCACGTCATCCATACCGCAGCCGTCGTCCCTCTCCAATACTGCCACCACCCATTGTCAACCACCTTTCCCACCCCCTCCACCGTCTCCATCCCTCCCGCCTCCTGTCAACCGCTGACATCATCCCTACCCTATCCGCATTGATGATTGCAGCCAGAATCAATCTGATTAAACTTCCCACGTCTCTTTATTACTTCGATTGCTTCCCATTTCCTGATGCTCGCCACCTACATCACTGGGCGGCGAGTCACCTCCTACACCGCCACCACACCTTCCCAACGTCCACTAACTGCAGGCCTGTCTCTACAACCGCTCTCCCTTCTCCCTCCACCGCCGTCACCGCATCCTCCCCTTTTCCCTCTCCCCCCACTCGATTCCACCGCTCCCGCCGTCCTCTCCGCCCCTGTCCTCATCCCCGTCCTCGCCGCAGCCGCAGCGTAATCTCGTGGCGGCGCCGCCAACAGACAGCTGAGCCGGCGCGCGCGAGCGGCCGCGGCCCCAAACGGCACGGCGGCGCGGGGCACACATTTTCTCCGATTATTTCATAAATCAGCGGCTTAACACTTGTACACACACGCAGCGGGGGCGGTGGCGGTCACGCCGGTGAGTGCCCGTCGGCACGCGTTTCACGCGCCGGGCGCCGGTTGCCCTTTGCCCCGCGCCCGGCCCGCGCGAGCGCCCCTGCAGCACGCCACTTCGTGCTCCGCTGCAGCGCGCAGCGCTCGAGAGAGGGCGACAAGTGCTGCATAGCTGTGTGTCACGCGTACACACGTTTCTGTGTCGCACTCTGCGGCATGGTGAGGATCGTGGGTGGGGACAACGGGTGATAATAGCTCTCGTCGCTGTTCTGTATGACGCAATTTCAATTACAGATTTTTCATCTAACAGTATATTATATAGTGGACCTGGCAATGCTTCGCTATTGAAACGTATTGCACTTCACACACTACTGGTCACGTGATTGTAAATCACATTTTACGCCACGCCCTGCAAACAATTTAATCGATGACTCTCGCGAGTATGGGTTTGTTCTATGTCCGGGTTTGGACATGTTTGTCAAGTATCCAATTTTTAAAACGTTTTCTCCCACGTGTGGGCATGCATTTGATATAACGCTGTCTTGGAGATATTTTATTTTCCGAGATAACGTTCACGTAATAATTACGGCCGACATTACACAATCGCAGGGGCAGAATATGCAGTGACGATGCGTTTAATACTTGCGGGTGCGGCGGGTTGCGTAGATCTTCTGTTCAGGGGCGCTTGAGTCATCTTCAACATGAATCGTGAACAGCGTCCCCATTTTGTGTCTGTGTGCGATAGATATACGCACATACCCACTGTACTACGCCTTGGCGCAAGTACAAGTAATAACTTGACATTGTTTTATCTTAATTGAAATAGCGGTACGACAGAGCATGAAAAGAACAAAATTTGTTTTTATGAATTAAATGACATAGAAATCGTCATAATTTATTCATAAAATGACGATTTGGTGATTTCTGCGTCAAATAATGTAAGTTTTCAACAACATCAGGCAATAACAACAACAGGCAAGAATAGACAAGGAAGAATATTCTCTTTTATTTTGGACTTATATTATTCTATTCGTAGGGCCTGAATATTATTATTTCCAAACATGTGTTTGGGAATATTGATACTTGTACATAGTATGTGGTGGTTGACTCATTCGCTGTACTAGCTATGTTGATATGATACGACACAACGCGTTTTCATGTAATCTTCGTTTAAGAAGGTCACATCGTTGATTTCTAACAGCAGAAGATTTTTCAGTGTTTAATTAGGGAAGACACGGCAATAGCTTTGTGAGAAGAGCGTTGCGTTCGTTTGTGATCATATAAAAATCTTATTTTATGCTACTGTTGCGAAATTTAGTGATTATTTCGAAGAAAAAATGAGTAGTTTCGAACTAATGTATTTCGTTCCAACTTTTTCACCAACAAAAACAGAAGTTTAATTTTTGTTCTGATCTCGATGTTAATTAGCTATTTCTACTTAGCAAGATACACTGCAAATTGACACGCACATTTGGAGCTTGACTATCTGCATCTGGATATTTTCCCCTCACCATCTCCATCTAACTATGGCCGTCAAGCCATTCTCGCCTCGCCATCCCAACCTTCATGCTTTATTTCTTCTTTCATATCTTCAAACGTTTTTGTGTCAATCGCTGGAAATATTGAAGCACTTACGAATGCTCATTATTTTATTATTACTTGCAAACTATCATAACACGTGTAGATATTTTACAATATTTCTCTTTCCCATATTAATTTTATACAGACACATCTTTTTTATAATATAAGCTGGTATTTGTGACAAATCATATGAATCACATTTAACAGAAGTTAACCTAACAGTAGAATTTAAAAGCTTTTTGAAGTTTATTCGTCCGCAGTCTAAGCACTACCCACAGTTTCATAAGAAAATTCCTCTTATGGTCTCTACTCAGATGAATTCGTCGGTGTCGAAGTTGGTGAACCATACCGATACTTAATGAATGTTAGCCTATATAAAAGCGTACCAATACTAAAGCACTTGGTTTATTTTCCCTTAATTAGGAAATTGAATGTATCTTTTCTGGAAAATATACATTGGACATTCCTCTATTTTCCACTAGAACTTTAATGCCCTTTCAAATCGAATACACAAAATGATTAATGTTATGCAAGCCACTAACGGTTTATTTTCTCCACAATATAATTATGTAATATAAAACGAAATACACTATATCATATAATACAATGTGTTTTAGTACATGAAATATATATTTCATATGCAATGTGTATGAATATAACGGTATTAATTTCGTGAAATCGCTCTTATGTTTTTATTAGCTGCATTATCGTTGCGATACTCAATATCTGTCGTATTTTTTCTTTTAACATTTTTTAAACCTAAATCTCATTTAATCTTCTCTGTCTAATTGCACATTATCGTTAATCTTTTCTCCGCGCACAAGCCTCGACATTCAATACTTTCTCACGTCAGAGCCAACTTGACTCCGCTGCTCTTCACTTCCATTAACCCCCCCCCCCTTTCACTCGGTTCGTTCCACACCATCGAACTTCTGCTCCTTTCCTCCCCTGCCCATCCGCCTCTCTCCTCTTCTCCTCCAATGCCCTCCTCGCATCCTGCTCACAGACGTTAATCCCCGTCGCCCCCCCCCACAACGCCCCCTGGCTTTTACATACAGCGCTGCCTCTCGCACTAGCCCTTCCCACGCACATTTGAAGCTTCACTATCTGCGTCTAGCCATGCCCCCCTCACCATCCTCACTGAACCATGGCCGTCTCGCCATCCTCGCCTTGCCATCCTAGCCTCGCCATCCTCGCTTCACCCTCCTCGCATCGCCCTCCTCGCTTCGCCATCCTCGCTTCGTCATCCTCGCTTCGCCATCCTCGCTTCGCCATCCTCGCTTCGCCATCCTCGTTTCACCATCCTCGCTTCGCCATCCTCGCTTCGCCATCCTCGCATCGCCATTCTCGCTTCGCCATCCTCACATCTCCATCCTCGCATCGCCATCCTCGCTTCGCCATCCTCGCTTCGCCATCCCTGATTTTCGATTCCTAATTTACCACTCCCGCATAGTCATACCCACCTCGTCATTCTTGCCCCGCGATCCTTGTCCCGGTATCCTTGCTTCGCTATACCTAGTTACCACTCTCGCCTCTCCATCCCCACGTTGCCATCACCGTCTCGTATTTCCAGCTCACCATCCACGCCTTGTCATCCTCGCCTAGCCATCCACACCTCATTATCCACACCTCGTCAC